CCAGCCCCGTCCCCGCCCCCCCAGGCCCCGCGTTTCGCCCCGAGCCGAGCAGGAGGACGGGCTGCTCCGCGGATCCGCCGGGCACGCGCACACCTGAGGCACGGAGGGGATCGAGCGAGCAGCCTGGAGCAGCCCTCCGGCCACGGCGCTGGGTCGGCCAGCGGCCCCGGGAACCTGCTGCCGAGGAAAAGGAGATGCATCGGGTTCACACGTCTACCCGCCGTGCCACAGTTTCAGACGAGGACACAGGTCCTCGCGTTTGCAGTGCAAGACGGGCTGCGTGCAGCACATCTCAAGAGGTCAATCCAGGAGACACTACTGAGCAAGAAGTGCAAACACAGCCCTGGGCTGCCAGACCCAAGCCCACATCTAGCTTGCTCTTTACCACCATCCTTTATCATCGCAGGAGCAATCAGCGTGCTCTCGCTACACTGCGCTCCAGTCAAATGCTTCTTATTAGCTTGAAATTAAGGCAGGGAATCACAGCGAGCGCGAAGAGTAAGAGGAGACTTTTACGGCCTCTTATTCATGGCTGTAACAAACAAGGACAGAGAAACCTTCTGGACGGGGTTACCGGACTCCTTCCCCACGTTCGACTGAACCTGCTCGACTCACTTCACGCCAGCTTAGTAAGACGTTCAGCAGTTTAGCTTGATCAAGCTGAAGAAAAGTTGTGAGGCTCCTATCTTTGGCCATGCTGAGAACATCAAAAGTCTTTTCTGTGGTCTTTTGTTCTCTGCCTCCGCCAGCCCCCTTGTTGTTCTTTATCCTGATCCTACCAGGACTAAGCTTGTCTACACCTGGAATAGCTACTACACTTTGAATTTGGGATAAGCCTCAGCATAAATTTACTTTCAAGCATAGACAGGCCTGGATTTCCAGTGTGAAAACCCATTCACTCACCAGCATTACGTGCCCCTGGGCCTTCCTAGATAACGTGATATGAAAATACATCTCTCTCTTGCCTCAGCAAAACCCCCAGGCCTGATGAGACAGGCTGCTGGAGATCACGCCAATCTGAGCCCCACATCCTCCCAACTTAGCTGGCCAAGGCACAGGCGGGCTGGCAGCCTCGAGACCCCAGCCGGTTGACACCACCCAGCTTGAGCGCTGGAAGGGGCACGAACGAGCCCCCGAGCCCACACCAAGTCCCCGCTTCCCTGCAGCCCGGTGTCACATCCGTGCTGGGAGTCCTGCCAGAGCTGCCACCCAGGCATCGCCCCGGCACAGGGGGGACGAAGCCATCGAGGCACCAAGGCCAGGGAGTGTGCCGGGCTCTGTCATGACTCATAAAACCTGGGACTGGCCAGGGTTTAAACACTTCAGTGAGGGGAAGGTAAGCTGGGTACGTAGCTAAAGGTACGGGCAGCTGAGAGAGCTGGGCTTCTCTGCCCCTCGCACCCTCCCTCTCGCCATCTCGCCACCAAAAGCGAACAGGAACGAGGCACTCCTCTGCCAGATGAGTCACTCCTGACTCTGCCGCTGATAAGCCTTACCGGGAATCAGCGAGGGCTGGCACAACAGCAGGGGAGAGCCACCTACACTGCTAAAGCCTCACGTTCACCCCACATAAGGTGAGGCTACCAACCTGAACCCCGTTTCAACCACAGGGTCTTTCTTCCAACTGTGGACGCTGTTTCCAACAACAAGAAAAAAAAAGCCTACGTAATCTCTTCCCAATTTGTCCACCAACCACCAGACCCCTGGTCCCCCTAGGTGCGTGCTTTTCTGCAGTAGACAGCAGGAGATGCTTTTTAGACATGCAAGCCCACTGCCCAAGGCTATACATGACACAGAAGGGAGATCACTACAACCAGGGCTTCACATAAGCTCTCCTGACCTCTCTGCCAGTGATTATAATCTAACCTACCATCAGTCCTCCTCTCTGTACCTTCCCATTATGTTGGCTTTTGGCTGGAGGAAAGCTCTAGATCTAGCAGGACCAGACCCTGGTATAGTATCTCAGAAGAGAGATTTGGCTAAGCAGCTGCAAACTCTAGACAAAGCATCAACAACAACAAAAAAACCGGATGCTTGCTGGGACGCAATTAAAAACAATAAATAAATCAAATCACACAGAGTACAGAATGTCCCAGGATCAATCGACGAATCACTGGCAGCTGCTGTGCAACCAGAGTGCAAAGTATTGCCATAACTGGGCAGTGGGTTTCACTCACGTGTTTTGTGTCACATGCGGAGGGTACGCCTAATTTTGATGCGTGTAGAAGCAAATTTCATTTCCTTCCTATATTCAAGACTGTCAGATTCATTCATTTTTTTTCCTGCTAACTTGTGTGATATCCCCCAAAGTTCCCCCTTTGCAAACCACACACAGAGTACGCAGCTTCCCAGCGGTCTTCAGCTAAGCTCATGCCAAGGGCCAAGCGAGCTGCTACACTGGTACTTTTTAAAATTTGGTTATTTATATTCTGCATGAGCTTCCTCTTTCCTGCTGCTGTTTTTCCCGAGATGCTGATTGTGCATTCTGCACATGTTGGTTATAAACCAAGGAAGCAAAAAGCAGCAGCAGGACAGAGGCTGTAAAGACCCAGGTCAACACCTGCACCAAACGCAGGTTTCTCTCTTTGCACACCAGTAGACACAGGAAGCAGGACTGGGAGGGGGACAAAACCTCCAACTATGGTTTATTCCTGTGACAGGAGCCAAGAACTCTGAAATCCTCATTCTGGCACTCACACCACTTCCCTCTAGGACTTTCAGCAAGTCAACTGAAGATAAACGTCGTCAAAATGGCCTCAAAAGAGCTGTGACAGACAAGTGCTGGTAGATATTGCTGCAATGGTTACTGGTTCCAGTTGTCTGCTGGAACTCCATCTGTTGGAGTTTCCTGCCCCAAAGCGAAAGGGAACGTGAGTCAGGCCTTGACCAGCACAATCACAGCTGACCATACACATGCGAACCCTCCTTCACCCGCAGTTTAACCAAAAAAACTGCGCGTGGCACCGCAGCAGAGGCGCAGGTGAACAGCCCCGCTGGCTTACGGCTGCTGCGTTGGTTAAGAGACACGGCCAACAGGCACAGCCAGCGCTTTAAACTATTGCAAAAAGATTAAGCGAAGCTCAAATGAAAGCACCAATTCTGAGCACGTTGGGGTTTAGGACATTTGCACCTCCCACCAAACTGATATGGAAGGCACTCAGCACCCTAGAAGAGGAGATCTAAAGCATTTCAGTATGGGCAGCAAAAAAGGGAAAATATTTAAAATGAACACACTACCTCGATTTCTCCGGTTCAGTATGCAATCCTGTCCCGTTCACACAGCAGGAAAAGGGCCTATAATTTGAGGGGCACAAGAAACACCTACATTTGGTTTACTCAGGGGCATCAGACGCACGATTCTGCATCAACTCGGAGGCTTTTGAAGAGGCAGCCGTGAGTGAGCTCTGCAGGAGTTCAGCCCCTGAAATATGAAACGAGATGCCTGCACCAGATGGCTCGCCTGGTTTTAGCGACGGCCTCGGCGAACTGCAGATAGCCCTGGGCTGCGTGAGCAATGGGGAGCCGCGGCCCAATACTTCAAAGCACCAGTGACTGCACCAGGGAGGAATTCCTGCTCCGTGCAATAAACTCTTCTACTCTCTGGCGAATGTGCTAGTACATGGCACAGCGCTGAACCCCACGTCCTCGCACAGAGGTTTAATAAAGAGCTCCAAACCTTTGCCAAGGTTCGCAAGCCGGCGGAAGGGGCTGCGGCGCGAGGGACCCTCGCAGGAGCAAGGCAAAGAACAGGGAAACTGCCCTCATCTCTTCTCTCAGCTGCAGGGAAAACGATGCAAAATCCGGACAGCGAAGCGAAATACCAGCGAGGAAGCTG